GAGAAAGGCAAGGAGACACTTGAGTATGGGAATAAATACTGGCTCATGCTGGATGAAAAGGAGACAAAGCGGATCTATCCTGTCAAAGAAGTGAGAGTGTAAGTGCTCTTCAATTTCTGTGTCTTCCAAGTATGGTCACAGCTTCCTCTAGAAGTCTTTGGGTACATAATTATAATCCTGTTAGTGCTGTTTCTGACATTTCCTAACTCACTTCATCTCCCTTGCCCTGTAGCTTCAGTTGTTTTAGGTAGTGTAAGGAACAGTAACGTTAGCATAGCTGTGATGGTAGGAGCTAGACTGTGTAGTTCCCAAGGTGCCTCCAGTTTCTGTCTTTACCTTTTGAGTATGCTGCAGAGGATGAGCAGACTTGCTGCTCTGGTTTTCCTAATGGGAAGAGAAGCTACTCCTCTACCTTAGTATTAATTTCAGTTTGAGATTGGAGCAGCTTTGCCAAAGATGACACTTCTGAGTGCATTTTGGAGAGGTTGCTGGGTGGGAGCTTGTGATACACCCATCCTTGGCAAAGGTGCTAGCTAATGTCGCTGTGATCCTGGATGCCTCCTGTAGCCCTGCGGCTCTAGTTCATTTACTGAGAAGTCTCTCTTGAATACCTACAGGGAAGAAATGAAGTGGCGAAAATGGGCGGACGACTGGCTGGTTCACCTCATCTCGCCCAATGTTTACCGTACCCCTAGGGAGGCCTTGGCATCTTTCGATTACATTGTCCGGGAGGGGAAGTTTGGCACCATGGAAGGTTTCTTTGCTAAGTACATGGGGGCCCTTGCCATGTTCTTCATTAGCAAAAGGTTGAAGAAAAGGTAAGTACAATGGGCAGCACATACGTGAAAGGAATAGCTCCTTCTCCTTAGCTGTGAGAAGCAGATATTGGTGTGGGACCTTAATGTTTTAATCCAAACCATTTAATCCTGTACGAGTAACAATGCTGCTGCTTCTGCTCCTCACGTTAAGATATGTAGTTCACATGAAGTACTGTTGATGTGTTTGCAGTACTACTTACTACTCTCACTATCCATCCCCTTCACTCTCTGAACTACCTTCTGAATCCCCAAGTGGGGACCAGCCCTTAATGTTAGAGGTGAGGAAAGCTTAAAGTAAGAAACAAACTAGTTAGAAAACATGTCATTTCCTGTCTTTGCCTAGACATAATCTTCGAGATAATGTCCGAGAAGACCTGTACGAAGCGGTTAATGAGTGGGTAAAAGCTGTTGGCAAACATCGACTGTTCATGGGTGGCAACCAGCCAAACCTTGCAGATTTGGTAAGAGATTCTGCAGATTTCTGTATCTGTGTTTAAATTTATGAAAAGCCTTGTCCAGTTATTCATCCATGTGAAATGGCAAATCTGAATATAGACAGAGAAGGTACGCTACACAAGATACACTGATAGTGTCGTTTCTTATGCAGTAACATAATTTGAAGGTGCACTTGGACTTGGAGGTACTCATCTTGCAAAAAGCAGTGTTTGCTTTTTTTTTTTTTTTTTCTTTACCCTTTCTGTGTGAGAAATGTTCCCTAAGGGTTCACTTTGCAAATGACATGAGCATCTGGAGGTGGATGCTACAGATCATTCGGGAGCATGATGAAACCTGTTTACAAATGGAGACGCTGACCTGGCTAGTGGATGTTGGTTAATAAAACTGCACACCTGCACAGGACTTGCTACATGCAGTAGTTCTGGAATTTCCTTTGTAGCAGCAGCGTAGGGCAGAACTTAATTTATCTCCTGCACCTGTGGTTCTCCATGAATGCAAGTCAAGCCCTTCATAGCAGGGATTGATGCAGAGATAGGATTAGCTTTTTTGCTACAGCCTCAGGTAGCTCCTGACCTTTTCTTACTATTTCCTCATGCAAAAACATGCTTATTCTTAGCACCTGTTTCCTAGTTCACAATCTTCCTTGCTTATCACCCTGATGGAATAGAAAGAATGGCAGGGAAAGAGCCTTATTGTAGGCTGTTGAGGTACTTACATGAGTATCCTAAGGCATTTTCCCCATTTGATTGTTTTCAGTGTTGTTTTCAATCTTTATCCTCTGGTGCAGGCAGTCTATGGGGTCCTCAGAGTCATGGAAGGACTGGAAGCCTTTGACGACATGATGGTTAACACCAAGATTCAGCCTTGGTACCAGCGCATGGAGGAAGTCATTCAAAAAACTGAACTTACAATCTGATGTCAACTACAGCTGCTTTCCTGAAACACTTGCATGGGGGAAAAGCTTCAGAAGGAAAGTTACTTTTTTTTTTTTTTTTTTAATTGTTTAAAATGGCCTGATCCCACCTCATTGATGGACGTGCTGGCACAGACTGTCCCCTCTCAAGCAGCAAGTCTGAAGTGAGCCGGAGGGATCCAGCTATGCATAAACTTGAATATGATATTTAGAAGGACAGGAATGGGTAAAAGGAGTCTTGGACATTGCTGTATTCTGCAGTTCAATCCAAGCTTTTCCTTTACAGCGAACGAGCTCCTGTAGGTCGAGCCAGCTTCCCAGCAGGCTGCTGTGAAAGCAAGCCATGCTCTTGACTAGTAAATGTTGCAGCCATAACAAATATGATGCATCTGAGCAGCTTCTGCTTCAGGCTGTCTTCCTATACTCATCCAAATCACCTTAAAGTGTTTTTTCTGAGACACTGGATACTAGATTTCTAACTGACACCTCTTGTCTCAAGAGCACAGAGACTGTGTGTGTTTGCTCTTACGTGTGAACGGTTCTCTGATACCAGACTAGGGTGTGCAGGGATAAAGGCCTGCTTCTTTCTTCATGCCCTATGTGCTATCTAAGATTTCTTATGTGTTTTGTCTGGGGAGCACACCCTGCCCTGCAGAACTCACTGGAAATATTTGACTTGCAAAAAATCTCCCAGGAAATGCCCCTGGAGGTCAGCTTGTTTCTGTTCTAGAAAGCCCCTCCCTGCCTGGGACTTTTTAGAGGCGTAGTGCAGGACAGGACCAGAATTTGCTGCTGGAGCAACTCTAGGACTATGCAATACATCCTCTGCTGCGCAGTATGAGCTAGGATGGCCCCATGTCTTCATGAGAGATGATATAGGGTTGAAACTGAGTGTTTCTTCCTTAATTACCACCTGCACTAGCCCTTCCAGCTTCCCTCACAGCAGGGGCTGTGTTTTGAAGAAACTGTTGCTTGCAGAAAGTGCAGCTGAAATGTATCTGCAAAATAAGTGTTTGCATGGTGGCTTTTTGGGGAGGTGATGAGGGAAGGATGGTTATGGGGGTCTAAGAGGGGAGGTCCCCTTTTATGCCTCCACGTGTACAGGCACAACAGCGTCAGCAGCAGGAAGCTTAACAGTTGTTCAGGAAAAAAACAGTGTTTGTCGTTGCCCTGTGCCTCGCTAGACGTGTTTATTAAAGCTGCCTGCAGTGCCCGTCCTGCCCAGTGTTCTGCAACCCCCGTTCGCGGGCTCGGCCTCCCGGTAACCCCGCGCCGGGCGGGGGGCGGAGCCTCGCCGGGAGGGGGGCGGGGCCCCGCGCGGGTTGCTATGGCGCCGGGGGCGACGCCCTTGTGAGGCGGGGC